ACTATAGGTTTGTATCTCCTTGTTTACTTTGTTTATACTATAGGTTGTACCATAGGTTTGTAAGGATTAAAAAGTTAAAAAGTTTTTATCATTAATTGTCTTACGTTGTGATGATCATGAAAGTCTATCTGGGTAGTTTTATTTACTATTCCTTCTCCTTGTAAATTGTTTGACAGAAAGGTTCTAAGAGCAAATAATTGAAGAATCTTTTTTTAATACTGGCTACTAATATTCATCTTTCCCATTCTTCAATTATTTGCTCTTAGAATCTTTCTGTCGAGTAATTTACAAGGAGAAGGAATAGTAAATAAAACTACCCAGATAGACTTTCATGATCATCACAACGTAAGACAATTGATGATGGAAACTTTACGATTATTTCACGGAGAAAAATAATTTGCTGGCCCAGTAAATTTTCTGCTGATCTAGCAAAATCTTTTCGTTATTATATGGACAGCAAAAAGATTTGCTAAGAGTATTAATCATTATTTGCTAGATATAATTTGCTGAATCTACAAATTATTTTGCTATAAGAACCATAATGAATTTATATAAACAATTGCAGTTTTGCTCCGATAGCAAATAAATTTGCTAAGGATACATTATTTTGCATCAATAGCAAATTAACGTGATTCTTAGGACAAATATACTCAACAAATTTTTTCTATCCTCGCAACGAAATTACTTCTGCTCTGATAACGAATAATTTGTAAACTTAGTTACGTCAACTAAATTTTTTTGATGTCACTACGAATATACAATAGCAACGACGATTTTGTTAAAAGAACAAAATTATTTTTCTCCGCGTTTAGTTACATTGAAATGACAAGTACACTGCATCAAGCATTGAATCTACATCATACAATGATGAATTCTACCGATGTAGAAAGAAATTTACTTAAAGTTCAGGTTTTCATGTTATACTTTATATAACATACTACTTCGAGCAAATTTTTATAATTTCTTTGATATTTTTTCGTATTTCTATTTCGTCATTCTATGTAATAAATATAAGTGCCATATAAACCACTTATAAGAATGCAATTTTTACAAACCGACTGATAAATTTATTGCTAAATGTATACACATCTAAATGTGTACATGTCTGCCTGGGTATGTTTAAAAAGAAAATGTAAAATACTTTATTAAAAGGCGAGTAATAGTCTAGAGTTAGCCTTCGAATTGAAAAAGTTGAAGACACGTGGAATTTAAGTGGAGCCAATCATGCAAGCTGTCAGAACGTAATTCAATCCGCATAACGTAACTGAGATTAATTCGACTTAATCGTTACTTAATTTGCGCGACGAATTGAATCAATGCAAAATCTTAAATCGCCGTGTCTCTTAATGCCGAGCAATGGCTTACTCAGCGGGCTCTGATTAGTCATGTATGTGTGTATGTGTATGTTAAGTATGTCACGTGTAAGTTTATTTATCGATAGGAACACATCTCAAAGTTTATGGCTCCATTTGTGTTAAAAAATTAATTACGTAGGCAATAAATATCAGATTCATTATTTTGCAATAAATTTTATATGAAATCGTAACATTTCATTTTACAGTCTTGAATACGAAATTGTCTCTGTTAGAACCGGTTTTTCAATGGCAGTTTAAACTTGGATTCAAGTTTAAACTTTATTCTAACAATGCGTTTGTTTTGTTTAAACAGAGTTTAAGTTGAAATCTAAGTTTAAACTATCATTGAAAAACCGACCGATAGTTGTTCGTAATTCCGAAACCATCGATGCCTACGTATATGTTTTCTAAGGAGAAGTCAGTTTTAAATTCGTTCAAGAGAGAACTTCTATTATTACAATCAAATTCAGAAACATTCGGGAAATTATTTAAGGTATATATAATATGCGAGGTTCGAGGCAACGCCAAACCATATCGCAATCCTGCTTTCAAAACACCTGTTTGTAATGGTCTGCTTGTTTTTATATCCGCGAATGTCATACATTACGTACACGCTTCTGCCGCAAACAACAGTTTTTGCAATATCGTCTTTTAAACATGGTAAAGTCACATGATCGTGTCTAAAGACGCAACTGCTTATTGCACAATCGAAATTTTTGAAGTCTAACTTGTCAAAAAACGGTCTAACTTCTTAAAAAATGGAAGACTTTACAACTTGATCCTAAGATTGAATCATTCTTTCATTTTTCGATATTGGCAGGATGCGGCACAGAATCCCACATATGATGACTACCATCACCCGTCGTCCATCGTTATTCAAATAACATTATTTATTAAAAAATAACATCGCATATTACCTAACGTTACGGTGAATAGCGTTACGGTGAATGACGCGAGTGCGCAGTTTCATCTTTAGACCCGGCCACGTGATTTTAACGTTTACCGTATCTGAAAGACGTAAATATTTTCTAACGTGTGGACACCCTGAAATTTCGCACGATGGCGCAAAATACGCGCAAGGTCGTAGAAAGAAAAACAAGATCGCAGAGGCGCAAAGTGACGAAACAAACACACAAGCCTTCCCGCGTACCGATCATGCTGCACATGGCACTTAAGCTTAATCTGCAATGTGTTCTTTGCCTCCTGTTTCTCGTCTTGTGTCTTTTCTGGCTTAAAGCTTGAGGTTCGAGTCGGAGACAGAGATAAGGAGAAAAAAATAGGAAGCAAGGAAAATATTGTAGATAAAACTTCATTAGAGTTCATGACATCGCTGATATTGAATCGCGAGAATGATGATCTTTGAATCTTGTAGGCTCGCGTCTGTAACGATAGAGAGCTTCGCAGTGCGAAGGATATTTGGGAGCAGTACTCACCAATAATCCGTTCAGCTGCGCATCCTCCCGGCTGCCGATTCTCCTCCTCCGATACGGGGCCGTTCCTGGTCGCAACGTCAAGCAGCAGCAGTAACAGCAGTAGCCGGCGGCCGTGGAGTGACCAGACGCACCTCCCGAAAACCTCCGGCTTCGTCGCGACGCGATATTCCGTTCACGTCCTCACGAGGGGAAGAACCACGACGGCACGGCGATGCGGCGCATCTCGTCGGGAAACGCGACCCGCGTTTTATTTCCCTCGCGCGCTCTTCACGGCTTCTCGAACGACACCACGCGAGGGAGGCGAGGGCGACGATGGTCGAAGATCGGGCACTCTCTCACTCTCACTCACTCTCTCCTATCTTTCTCTCTCTCTCTCTCTTCCTCCCTCTCTCTCTCTTTCTTTCGCGTGCGCGCGCGCTAATCACGAAGTGTTACCGGTTCGGGACGAGAAACCCGGAGCATAACGAGTTTTCGGCTTGCTCCGGTGGGAAGGAGGGGTTGGAGACTGGGAGGATAAGGGGAAGAGAGAAAGAGAGAGAGAGAGAGAGAGAGAGAGAGGAAGAGAGAGAGAGAGAGAGAAAGAAAGAAAGAGAGAGTACGTATGTTAGCGTGTGCGTCGTGAGAGCGGTAATGGGTGAGAACGCGACGGATAAGCGAGAAGTTAGAAATGGACTGATACCCTTCGGCTGGACAAAAACTGCTACAGTTCGCGCGTCATGTCCGTCAGAGGAAGAGGGAAAGGAGAAGAACGACGCGCGCGCGCGTGCTGCGAGACGATCCTCCCCGCAAACACCAATGTGCCGCTCAAGCAACAGCATCCGACTGAAGCTCGCTGCGAGGCGCACGGCGACAAGTTGCGCGGCGCCACTAACGCCACTGCACGGCGGTCGAGTGTACTAGGTAGCGCGACGACTCGTAACCGGCTACCGAGCGATTTGAAATTTCATCCGTTCTCTTCGAAACTGCTCGTTCGCTCGTTTACATTCGCGCGCGTTCAAAAAAACACGTGAGAAACGGATTAAACTGCGCCTTGGAAGCTGGCGCGTTATCGATAATTGTCGCTTTTGGGAATAACCAAGTGACATTTCGATTGAGATGTCGCTTGTATGATTATCGATTGCTGGAAGAAAAGATAGCTACGAAATATCGCACGTTTGCTAACGCTCGCGATGAGATATCGCGAACTCAGTATTTTCATAAATACATCGTAACTAACTTTCGGCAATCAATATTGTCTGACCTTTAGATTGATAACCTAACCTAACCTAAGCTAACGCATGCAATTTTGCGTATAAAATTCCGCATTTAAAACCTATTAAAATTGCGTATAATATTTAATGATATCGGAGCCTTTTCGGAGAGGTAAAACCGTACGTATAAAAAATACACCTAATTCATGTCCAAAACGAGAAACGTCCACGATCCATAACGTGAGGCATCCTCGATATATCTGCATCCGGCTCTTATACGTCACGCCTCGAAGTACGTTCGTTTTGGCTGCTCCGTTTCCCGCCGCTCTCCCCGTTTAAGATGCAATGCAGGTAAACGGATTTCTCTCTTCCTCTCCTTTTCTCTCTCTCTCTCTCTCTCTCTCTCTTCCCCATTCTCCATACTAACGAAAGAGGGAAGGAGAGCGGAGTGTGCGAAGTGCAGCGGTAACGAACAGACCTCGTGACACCACCACGGTATATTGTATTGCGCCTAAATGGCGCGCCGCGCCTGGCACGAGCCGCAATACGGCTCTACCGCCGCCGACGGAGTGTGGCCGAGTGAGTCAACCGCCCGTTAGTAGGCCACCGATCGTCGTCGGCTGTCGCGATGGACGTCGCTCATCGTCGACATCGTGTCGCATGTAGTCCTTACGTCCTCGTGATGAGTCGCGACCTCCCGCGACTCCTGCAGCCGTCTCAACAACCCGCTCGGCATTGAGCGGCATGACGAACATCCTCGCGTCGTTATCGCCGTCATTGTTGTCGAATGTGCCATTGTTGTTATTGCGGTCGAATGTGCAGTAGCGAGTGCACGAGCGCAATTCCAAGGTAAGAGAAACGAAGACGGGAGGCGCATTTCCGTTCCGCCGGTGTGTGCGAATGTAACACGAGCGAGAGAGAAAGAGAAAGGGAGAGAGAAAGAGAGAGAGAGCGAAAGAGAGAGGAAGCTTAGAGCGGGACTGTAGGAGCGAGAGCGTGAGAGGGGAGCCTCGTCCCCGCCCGGCAGCTTGCGAAATCGCGTAACAATCAGCTTATCGCACTATAATTTCGCGGTATCAACAGTTAGCGGCGGAATTTGTACGTCCGCCGCCCCGCTTCTGACGAGGCTGAAGTTCGTCGCAAATCGCGCGCGTGCCACCGCGCTTTTTGCTGCCCGTCGTCGTAGCCGCTGCTCGAAACCATCCGTCTTTCCGAGTGCCGCTCGACTGTGCCGATATTGCGGAACCGCGAGTGTAATTTCGCGAGTCGATTATACATCCGCGAACTCGATCATCCTCCCTTTTCCTTTCCCGAGTCGTAAAAAAGTTTTATCGGCTGTCCTACCGCACCACGTCAGCCGCGATCACCGTCGTTGCCGCCGATAACCGCAGTCGACTATACTCTATTCTGCACGCGTACTATAGATGGACCAGTCGGAACTGTAATTAAGAGAGAACAGAGAAGCAACGATATCTCAGCCAATTCTCTCTTTTTCTCTCTTTCTCTCTGTCGATGGTGCGAAGTCAACTTAAATAATCGAAAGATCGATTGACGTGAACGTCGTACGAAACTCGAACCGAGCGCTAGAAGCGTAACGCGCTTATAATTTCGTGCCCGCCATATTGCTTTTTTCGAATGTTCAAAAATTCAAGAGTTCTAATTTTGAATTCAAGCGTTAATGTTTTTTTTTCCTTTTCTTTTTCAATTTTGCGTCACGAAGTGCATTATTTTTACGAGTCGAGTCGATCCAGCGACGCGTTTGACAGTTGCCTGCGGATGTTTTATCACTGTGCTGCCTATCGCTATTAGATACTAGCGAAAAGCGTTTGGTTTTAGTGATATGAAGAATTGCCGTTGGCACGGACGATGACGAGGTTTTATTTAGCGGAGGATCTCGTTCCACAGAAGGTGAGACGAATCGCGTCCCCGTTACCGCAATTAATTTCAATCGATCGTTCCGCCGCCGCGACCTTATCGCGCCCCCGTTATCGCCGAATTGCAAAGAGGCAAGAAACTCCTTTTACTCTTTTTATCGCAATCTTCAGTTAATTAAGCTCATACCGCCGCTCAGTCTTCCATAGTCACGAATATTAAATATTATCACGATTAGTAAAGTATTCATGAACGTAGAGTCAAATCATTTGACGATCCCATGAGGGGCCGTGCTTTCTTTTTTTAATAAATGGCGTAACGCGATGCTGTTATCGCAAATGATTTATAGCAGCGGGACTCGATCACTGTTTATCGAATACCGCGGCTCACTTCACGTCAATAGGATATTGAACATGGACCTTTCGCTATCCCTCCTTGTTGCATACATTATACTCTGAGTGGTGATTAAAATAACAGTTAAATAAGAATTCAATCACTGCCCACATATATGTTACAAAGTATCGAATAGATTACAGTGAAGTATTTAACTCGTGAAGTGCATTAACTCATGTAATGAGTTTGTATTAAATTGTATTAAATTGTATTTAATTGTATTAAATTTTCTATGTGTGATCAAGTTACCATAAAGTATGTAAAGAAGTTGAATCAACAAACTCTTCAGAAATATAGAAGATATAAAAATGAACATTTTTTTTTATATAATGCTTTGATAGTGATGACGACTGCTTATCACGTTATGTCACGCGCTTTATCTTGATGTATCGTTTACTAACGCCGATCGTCATTATGATAAAGTGAATCACTCTTGTGTTTTCTCCTCGGAATAAAGATACGACTTAATGCTAGAATGCCCGAAAATAAATAATTCTTAGAATTATGAGAATAAATGATTCTCAGAAAATCACTATAAATCATAATTAAAAAAAAAAAATAATTTAAAAAATCATTTTGATTACTTGCGATTCTAACATCTTAAGATTTTCTTTGTTTCTCATTACTCATATTAATAACTTATGAACATTTTAAGAATATAATTAAAAATTACAGGAAAAATATTTTTTTCCTAAACCACGAGAAACAGAAATAGCGACAATAAGAAGACTTTAAAGAAGTCAAAATGACTCCATCTCCGGCACTCTATTATTAATTGCTGCTGCATTTTTGCAACGTTTTGTTTCGACGCTACACGACATGAATTAAATATTTTGTTGTAACCGCAAGGGTATTAATTTGGGTTATAATTGAATCCGCTCCCCTCCCGCGTATATATCACTCAATATGTATAAATTATTTTTATCTTTTTAAGTTGCTGCGCTTTATAGGAATAAGGATGTCGAGGCGGCTGAGTTTCTATGGTCTGGTAGGCCTGGCGTCTGTCTGCATCTTCTTCCTAGCGTTTAATCAGCGCTACAGCAGCTACCTCGAGCATCGACTGCAGCCGGTGATATCGGTCAGTAAAAATTCGGAGGTGGAGATTGCTCTAAAATTGAGTCACGCCAAACACGCTCTTTCCGATGGTAAATTCTAACTTTCGCACCTAACTTTTTATCCAACTCTTTCTTTCTCTCTCTCTTCACATACTAACGATACTCTCGTACAGACTACATAAGAGATTGATGATTCTTCTTCTCCTTCTGTCGCCATCTCTTCTCCTGCTCCCTTTTCTCACGTTGTTTCAGGACTATCGTTACAGAATGTCGGAATACCTCTCCAGAGATGTGCGCTAAATATTCTTATAACATACTTATATACCGTGTCGAATCTTGGTTTCATAATCTCATAATTCAATTTGAAGTCAGACTCACGTTAATTGAGAATTGGAGTACACTTGAGAGCACTCCTCGATAAATAATATTAATACAATAAAGTGTAGTGTTTTTTTATAATCAGCTGAATAATGAACTGATAACTGATTCATTATCTGTGAAATATCAAAGGACACGAATTCTTCTCTTCTGAAATCTAACGACAATCCGGAAAACACTTATAATTACTTATCGAAAAGTCGGCATGCTCGTAGATTAGCACTAATTAGTAATATACACTTTCACTTTTTAAACTAGTGTAACAATTTATAGCCTCACGGCATACTCATCGGTACTTGCACTTATGCATCTCCAATAAACATTAACACACGCTATTTAGACCGAGAAAGAGGGAGAAAGATCATTATCCTATGTCACATCAGTGGTAGATACATTCGTGTTCGCAATGCAGACGCACAAACGAAAACGCTAAAACGTCGATGCTTTCTTCTTCGATGTAGGATGTTGAGATAAGGCCACGGACTACAAAAATTCAAGAGCCAGTAACGGTAAGCCAGGTATGCACGTGTGTATCAATGTAATGTGTAAATATTATTGCTTTTTATTAAGCACAGTGTTAGAGAGTCTTATCTTATCTTTATATTGATGGAAACATTAACGTAGGTCAGGATATTTTACTTTTTATTTTATTTTTATTTTCAGAGACGTTTATTTTTCTTAAATTTAATGTTACACCTTATCAGTATTGATAAGTTATATTGCATAAGAAATTTACGGATCATTTTCAATATGATTTGTTTTTATATTATTTCATTAACTGATAACGGAAGATTTTATTAAATTTTATATTATAGATATAGACATATATAGACATATTATAAAATTTTATAAACAAATGATAAAATCACAAGAAAACAGCATATATCCTCGATAAAGTTTCCTCGCATTACTGTAGATTTTATCTTTATTATATATAATCTCGTATTGAAGTTTATTGTGTAAATTGTGCTAATTTAACAAAGTATTTGTTTATTATATGCATTACTTGTGTTTGCCACTTATTCTCTCTGCTTTAAAATAACGTTAGTAAATAACTTTCCGCTTTGCTTGCTTTAAAACACAAAAGATAAGTGATACTCTCATCACAAACCTATTATACATATTTAAATCTCTTTTTGACAACAAATAGGTGGAAGTATAAACGGCTACTGTAAATATAATAGATTAACATCGCGGCCACAAAGGTTGATACACTTGTTTTTGGTACATTTTAGAATCCATTCGACGGAAGAATTTGTCTTTGAAAAGTTCGAGGACATAGTTTTTCTAATCATAAGTTCGAAAACATGTCGAGAAGAAAACTGTGTGTCAATCTTTATAGCCGCAATTATACATTATTTGTGTGATTTACAGTTTTAGATTTGTTAAAATAGCAGGTTGATACACTGATTAACATTCTTCTATAAAAGTTTATTCGCTTCTATGCAATTATAAAATCGTTACTTCTTCCTGCTCCGTATTTAAGAAACGTATGTTGCATATTCATTTCAAAGTTATGTTCTCTAACGCTGAATTTATTTGTAATGTTGCTAACATATTGTATATTTGTATATTGTAGTGAAATATTTCTCTTTCGTAATCTGATCAATCTAATTTATAGGCATATATCACAGGATCCGCGGACAATGCAACAATCAACGAAATTCAGGAAGTGGTCGATCAGCAAAGAAAGGCGATTAAACGGGATATGGAAAATTATGAGTATCCAAACGGAAAATATGGGATAAACGTGAGGTAAAAAATCATTGGGACGTTACCTTCAGAAACGTTTTAAGTGAAAGTTAAGATAGAGAATGTTAAACCTCTCGTTTGTTGCAGCAAACTCGAAGATCTGGTGATGGAACAAGGAGGTAGACCTATGAAAAGCGTAATTTTGACGAGTTGGAGAAGTGGCAGCACGTTCCTTGGCGATGTGGTCAACGCTCATCCGGCAAACTTTTATCACTACGAGCCGTTGCTTGATTACGGAATCGTGCAGATCAGAGGACCGCCGCTCGCCGATGAGTCCCTAACGAAGATCATCTCTTTACTGAAATGTGAATTCAAAGAACTCGGTAACTTCACACTCTGTTAATTTATATTTCGCGATCGCGCCTTGTCGCAAAATTAACGATTATATGCGATTGCAATTGTGCTGCAGATCGTTACCTGAATTATGGGAAGACTCATCCCTGGGTTTTCAATCACAACACACACTTATGGCGACAGTGTCAGGCGCATAAACGTATCTGCTGGGATCCGCGTTTCGTATCCAAATTCTGCCGGTTGTTTCCTTTCCAGTCGATGAAGCTTGTGCGATTGAGGCTGCGTGTAGCGGAAAGGCTGTTAGCTGAAGAAAAGTAAGGAATCAGCATTAAGGGCATGATGAGCGTATTAATATTCAGAAATATCTAAAGAAATATGTTTAATTTAGTAAACATTCTTTAGACGTTGGCTATGGATATCATGTTGTTTCGGTCTGTAAAAATGCACTCATTCACGTTGCAGTTTAAACGTGCGATTAGTCCTACTTATTCGTGATCCGAGGGGCATTTTGCAATCTAGAAAACACAGGGAATGGTGTCCCGCCAAGCCCGACTGCTCCGACCCGAATCTGGTTTGCGCAGATATGGTGTCGGATTTTATCGCGGCGGTAGAGCTCTCGAGGAAATATCCTCATTCATTCAGGTACTATTCTCATAAGATTATAATTGTAGTGTTACTTGATCAATTATTTGAAGATAATATCTGCTATAAAGATTTATTCGATAGTATTTACTGGTAATAATCGTGTCCTATGCAAGTTACGTTTACGTTAACGGGACAGTCTAAACGCTGAATTTTTTATAGAGTGGTACGCTACGAAGACCTATCCGTGGACCCCTACAAGCACGTAAAGGAGCTTTACAATTTTTACGGCTTGGACTTTCATGTGAATGTGAAACGATTCCTGGACACGCACACCAAGAACGACGTGGGTGGTGTGTCGAGTACCTTCCGAAATTCCAAAGTCGCGCCTTTCCACTGGCGGGCGGATTTAGACTTTGAGGAGGTGCGTGAGATACAAAAGATCTGCGCGACCGCCATGCGACTATGGGGATATGTGATGGCTTCAAATTCCACCCACCAGAAGGACTTCGATCCTATCACGGATTACCGGCTTCAGTTGTGACAACTGGCGGATCGCGTGCTCAATGTAGATATGTTGTATAGCGTATCGATATAGCGAGTGGAACTGCGACATTACACAGTTCGTATAAATATTTACGGGAAAGGTGCTAGCGGTCACTCATAAGAGTGGCGCCGTAACAAAAATATGCATGAATGTCGGTTAATTCAGGAGTGAAGGCCATCAACTTTTTCCATTTTTGCGAGACCAATAAGGCAAAACCGTTCTTTCTAAAGCAGATTGACGGGTACAGAGCTTGTTCGTAATTTTTCGACCGTACGACAGCCTAGCATCACTTGTGAACCGAGTGTTGGGCACGAAGGATATACACCAAGTTCCTGAGACCCTGGTGTGTCGGCGAAAATACTGTCTATCCATATCGACGCAAGTGTCGTCGCAGATGCATTCGAAATGTTTCTAAAGGCTGTGAATTTTTCGAGGAGTTATTTCGTATCATATATGTATAAACTTATAAGATTCGAATTCGGGAATACTCGTGAAATCGAAGAAGATATTATAAATTAAGGAACGATATTAATAGCGAGAGGAAGATTTTAACTATCGATCATTGACATTCAAGTTTCTTTCGCGCGAGTCTATCGAGTCTTGCAACATTTCGAATCATCAGCAACGTTGAGAATTTATATCTGCGCTACCTGACGGAAAAATTTCCACCAACAACATTCAATGTGATTCATAGAGGAAGTGCGGTCGCGATATCAATTAATTCGTTCACCCTATGGAACACTCGAATATTGAAATTTCTTGCTCATGCGGCGCCGCGATGTTTCGAGAACGATATGTGTCGAGGACGAGAACACCGAGTTTCCATTCTACCGGCCTTCGTTCGACGCGGCCGACGATTATCGAGAATACGGACGCGACCAACTCGCGCGAGCGTGTAATTTTTATAACGTACGACACAGTCGTATAGCACTGCACATTTTAGATACAATAGAATTATATTATCGCGAGCTGTTTGTCGGCGCGACTTAGATTATAAGAGAAGATACCTTTTCGAATCTTTACACGCTATCGATTAGCAGTCAGGACTGACAACCTGTCCGGTACACACTTCGTTATGTATTATAGTGCGATTATATTATATTATACCCGCGCGAATGTACTTCTCGCGTCCTTGCATTGTATGCACCGGACACTAGATTGTCTGCTCTCTGTGTAAATCGATTAAGATTTATTATAACGTGAATTCACTTAAAGTTTAACATTAATTTCGATATTTAGCTACATTATGTTAGTAATATTATTAGAGTTCGGGCGTTCAAGAGCTAAAAATGAGGCATTACGACTATGTTCGTGGCTGAAAAAATTTCTGATCAGAATTCCTAGTCTCAAATTCTCATCCTAGTTATTTTCCTTGTTATATAATCACGTTTGTTTTCCACGGCGTATTGTATACATATATGCACCCTCGAGTATAAAACGAGAAAACAAACAGAACGGAAGAGGTTTTCTTACATATGGATTAAATCTTGCGCGTTTCGGACAATGCTAGTATGCCGTCGATCAGGATTGATAAGATGTAAATTCGCAATACCATTTTCGTGCGGTCTTGCGCTGTTGTTGTTACGTTTATGTGGAATGGGTATCTAGTCCAAAGGGAACGCATATTATTTCGTATTTTGTACCTTAGACGTAATATAAAAGTTATAATTAATAAAAGAATCGTGTTTCTACGCAACATCCGCTATTTATTTCCTCTTTTATTATATTATTACTTCACTTTTTTACAGCTTTGTCTCTCTAGAAAAAGAAATAGAACAAGCAGTTAACTAATGACACGTTCAAACTGCAACTTGCATCATTTATCCATTGTTTCAGCGAAACATTTAGCCAATATCATTTTTTATCATAGCGTATATCGTACACATCATATAAAAAAAAATAACAAATATTTAAAATATCTATCGCAAAGATTTTGCGCGTTGAAACAATTCATACTTGCATTATTAATTATTAAAAATATTTAAAAAATTCGCACGCGTTAAAAAAAATATATAAAATATATATTTTATAAAACATCTTATCACCTTTATCTCTCTCACATAGGAATATCTTGTATGGATGTTAGGGGCCACATTTAATGTATCTGCAATAAAGGAGTAAACGATTATTTGATCGAATACATAAGAAAATTTAAAATTTTATCTATTGCCGAATCAGTGAGGGCAAGTTATATAATCAATTTGTCATTATAGCGTATAAATTTATATCATTATTTGTTTTTTGCAAAATTGAAAGTATTAATTTTCATGTAAATTAATACAGCGTTTATCTTAATGTATTTACCTTTAAATCGCACCTGCATAAGCGATATAATCGATTGCATTGATATAGATAGCATGCTGATACTAATCTGAAATTAAACACAAAGTACTCTTATTATACGGAATATTTATATAGGATCACGATAGTTTCAATATTCAGTTATCAGATAAAAAAACTTAGCAGCAAAGTATTTTCAGACATATGCTTGTCAGGTTTAATCATCATGTTAGAATATAATGCATTAGAAAATAAAATATATAAAATTTTACTCAAATGTGAAAGGAATTTAATGCAATTATTATTATTGCAGATGTGTTCTGTCTTCTTTAATTTCTTGTTGTAGACAAACACATTTATCATTTATCACGAAAATATTTAAAAAATTCATCAAAATATATAAAATATCTATTTTATAAAACATCTTATCACCTTTATCTCTCTCACATAGGAATATCTTGTATGGATGTTAGGGGCCACATTTAATGTATCTGCAATAAAGGAGTAAACGATTATTTGATCGAATACATAAGAAAATTTAAAATTTTATCTATTGCCGAATCAGTGAGGGCAAGTTATATAATCAATTTGTCATTATAGCGTATAAATTTATATCATTATTTGTTTTTTGCAAAATTGAAAGTATTAATTTTCATGTAAATTAATACAGCGTTTATCTTAATGTATTTACCTTTAAATCGCACCTGCATAAGCGATATAATCGATTGCATTGATATAGATAGCATGCTGATACTAATCTGAAATTAAACACAAAGTACTCTTATTATACGGAATATTTATATAGGATCACGATAGTTTCAATATTCAGTTATCAGGTAAAAAAAACTTAGCAGCAAAGTATTTTCAGACATATGCTTGTCAGGTTTAATCATCATGTTAGAATAATACATTAGAAAATAAAATATATAAAATTTTACTCAAATGTGAAAGGAATTTAATGCAATTATTATTATTGCAGATGTGTTCTGTCTTCTTTAATTTCTTGTTGTAGACAAACACATTTATTATTTATCACGAAAATATTTAAAAAATTCATCAAAATATATAAAATATATATTTTATAAAATATCTTATTACCTTTATCTCTATCACATAGGAATATCTTGTATGGATGTTAGGGGCCACATTTAATATATCTGCAATAAAGGAGGAAACGATTATTTGATCGAATATATAAAAAGAAAATTTAAAATTTTATCTATCGCCGAATCAGTGAGGGCAAGTTATATAATCATATTTGTCATTATAGCGTATAAATTTATCATCATTTATGTTTTTTGCAAAATTGAAAGTATTAATCTTCATGTAAATTAATACAGCGTTTATCTTAATGTATTTACCTTTAAATCGCATCTGCATAAGCGATATAACCGACTACATTGATATAGATAGCCTGCTGATACTAATCTGAAATTAAACACAAAGTATTCTTATTATACGGAATATTTATATAGGATTACGATAGTTTCAATATTCAATTATCAAGTAAAAAAAAACTTAGCAGCAAAGCATTTTCAGACATATGCTTGTTAGATTTAATCATTATGTTAGAGTAATGCATCAGAAAATAAAATATATAAAATCTTACTCAAATGTGAAAGGAATTTATTGCAATTATTATTATTGCAGATGTGTTCTGTCTTTCTTAATTTCTTGTTGTAGACAAACACATTTATCACTTATCACATGCATCTCACATTTTTCGTTTTTCCTGAAAAAAAAAAAATTATTTTCATTAATTTTTTGTCACTTATGACACAATCACAAGGAGTAACATATATTAATAAATCAGATAATTTGTATCACCATATTTTATATGTAAGACAGGGATAACTAAATAAATCATCATAGAAAAGACATAGTTTTGTAACGTTCTCTCTTTAGTGTATTGATAATTTGATCAGAAAGTTTTAATTACTTACATGATTGAGATATTTTATTTTTGTTTTTCCATGCAAATGTAAATTGCTCCTTAAATATATTTTCTTTCCTTCCAATGGTACGCTACAGTCCAAGTACAGCGCCAACGCCTACCTCTCTTTACGTATACCTGTGGTGTGCACGCAGGTATACGTAACACAGGCATACGGGACCTACATTTTTAACGCCAATTCCGAACGGCAGATTTTGAGGTCTTCGTAGCAAAGATATTCTTAGGGACTTGCCTCCGAGAAGGAGATACGAGCGCATGAAAATTTTAGGTTCCATCTGGGATCGAACCCGGGACTTTTAGTAAAATTCTTCATTCTGCTTCACGATCAAAATTTATTTTCTATCATCATCCATTTTCTAGGAAAACATCTGAAATAATATTATAATTAGGACATGCATAACCATTTATATAATTTCATTAAAATTAATATTTTTCAGAAATAACATTATTCTTCATGTATATTCTGATTGACTAGGGCAGGTTGATTCATCATATATTAATTGTGATATTGAGATATATTCTTTTAAGTTCTTCTTTTAAGTTTAAAATGATATATAATATATATTACAACTTACATGAATTTCCATTCTTGGAAACACTTTCATGATTCTCATGAATCATAACTGACTTCTCCATTTCCTGTTAAAATCGTGTTAAAACGATTATAAACCAATATACATTGCATAAATTGTTAAAAAAATTGCTTTTAATGATTTTATCAGTAAACTGGATCAGTCATAGATTCTCAGGCTGGGGCAGTATAATTGCATCATAGTATGTGCATTTGATGAGGTTAATGCATAAAAATTTACATAATATTGGAGAAGGTAAATGTTACGTGATATTCTCAAATGTAATTCTGAAGATATTGATTAGCAAACAACTGAGCACGATATAAACCCAACTTGATTAGATTATCAATCAAATAAAGGATGATAAATCATATATTAATTGTGATATTGAGATATATTCTTTTACGCTTTTCTTTTAAGTTTAAAATGATATATAATATAAATTACAACTTACATGAATTTCCATTCTTGGAAACGCTCTCATGATTCTCATGAACCATAACTGACTTCTCCATCTCCTGTTAAAACAATTACAAATCAATATACATTGCATAGATTGTTAAAAGAAGTTATTTTTAATGATTTCATCAGTAAACTGGATCAGTCATAGATTCTCAGGCTGGGGCAGTATAATTGCATCATAGTATGTGCATTTGATTAGGTTAATGCATAAAAATTTACATAATATTGGAGAAGGTAAATTACGTGATATTCTCGAATATAATTCTGAAAATATTGATTAGCAAACAATTGAGCACGATATAAACACAACTTGATTAGATTATAAATCAAATAAAGAATGATACATCATATATTAATTGTGATATTGAGATATATTCTATTACGCTCTTCTTTTAAATTTAAAATGATATATAATATAAATTACAACTTACATGAATTTCCATTCTTGGAAACACTCTCATGATTCTTATGAATCATAACTGACTTCTCCATCTCCTGTTAAAACAATTACAAATCAATATACATGGCATAGATTGTTAAAAGAAGTTGTTTTTAATGATTTTATCAGTAAACTGGATCAGTCATAGATTTTCAGACTGGGGCAGTATAATTGCATCATAGTATATACATTTGATTAGGTTAATGCATAAAAATTTACATAATATTGGAGAAGGTAAATATTACGTGATATTCTCAAATGTAATTCTGAAGATATTGATTAGCAAACAATTGAATATGATATAAACTCAACTTGATTAGATTATAAATCAAATAAAGGAACTAATGCTTGCAAAAGATCACAATGATATTTCTCCCAACATATAATAAACAAAATATTACTCACACATCGAGTATGGACGAGCATGATCTATTGGGTCAGTCAAAGTTCAATTTTGAATTAATTTTTATTTATTTTTAAGGTCCTCAAACTGATCAACTTATCAAACTGATCTTCTCAGTCAAATTATTCTGTAATGATTGAAACGAGAAATAGTCAGATGGTGCAATACATAGAGGATACAATATCCTAATTCAGTTTTTTGAGCACATAGTTTGCATTGTAATGTAAAATCTGGCTTTGTCATGATGGAACACACTAATTAATTTAAAAATTGATTTTTTAATCTATCGTCCTAGTAAAGAATTGGCTACAGATATATGGCCCAATTTTTTCAATTTCATTTTTACTTTTATATTTGTTTTCTACGCATAAAAAACGATTGTTTTATTAATATTGTAGAGTTTCAACTAAATCGGAGAACTTTAAATTGTATAATTTTACCATAGAAACATTTACATCCTTTATAAATTTAAACAACATGATGCAAATGCATTTTGATGTTTATTTTCAAATAATTACAGGAGTTTTTTGACTGACCCAATACTTAATAGACACCCTCCGACGCTTGATAGCGGGTGGTTTTACAAATCCCATTCTAAAATAAAGGAAAATGGATGCTGAATTCAACGGCATACAGAACACATGGCAATGGTATATAAAAATCAATATAATCAGACTCGTAATAAGATTATAATCAAGAAACGATCATACGAACGAGACTACAAATGTGTCGTCATCATCGAAAAGCATCAAAAAAATGTGCCCACGTTGTGTGATAAAATATTATATAATTTAAAAAATATAATTCAAAGTATTATACGCAAGAAGAATTGTGCGTAAGAAGCTTGTTATGAGATGCTCAAGCAACGAATTTAGGTGGATGACGATGGATTCTCGAAAATATATATTCAGATTTAGTACGTACCTTTTCTTTGTCAGACAATACGACGTAGCTCACGCAAGGTTCAGAAGCGAAATGAACGACTGTGAACGATCACATACGATGAAAAAAATGCTGTGACGATGATGAGGGAAATTTTCGCGCATGCGTAATGCAGGATTCACACGCATACGACGTCCAATATCCAATAGGAGAACAGCTTTTTAATAGAGAATTCAATTCTCCATTGGAAAGTTATTCTTTTATTGGATACCGGATGTCGTACGTTGGATAGCGGTGTGAATCCTACATAAAGCTGATATTTCACGTGTCGTACGATAAGCTTTTTGGATACGTTCATTGGTTGACAAACAGAGAACCTAGAAATACTCTATTCGCCAATAAACCAATAAACATATCCGAAAAACTTGTCGTACGACACGTGAAATAGCACCCTAAAGGTGCCTTTACATGGGAATATCGAGCGTCGAGCGTTAAAGCGGTAACCAATCAATGTGCCACTTTCCGCAAAAACTACAAGTATATTTCTGAAACCTGATACGTTGATTGGCCAACGCTTTAACGCTCGACGCTGGAACGCTCCCATGTATCGGCACCTTTAAAGTGCGTTCTTATTTAGCGCGTCACGCGTCGCGTCGTCGGTCGCGTCACGAGTTTAACCAATCAAATAGTTCCATTGGAACAAGCGCGTCGTACATCGCGCGTCGCATGATCCCAATTAGAGGATTTGATTGGTTAACTTGTGACGCAGGCAGACAACGCGACGCGTGACGTACTCAGTGGGAACTCAGCCTAAGACTGATGCAGGATTCATACCGCGTCCGATGTCCGACGTACGACGTTCAATATCCAATAAAAAAATAGCTTTCCAATGGAGAATTGAATTCTATATTAGAAAGCTGTTCTCCTATTAGATATCGGACATCGTAGTCGGACATCGGACCCGGTGTGAATCCTGCATGAGTTCCCACTTAGCGCGTCACACGTCGCGTTGTCCGTCGCGGACCAAATCGTCTCATTTTATTGCCTAACTTTACGACGAATAAAATGGGACGATTTGATTGGTCCGCGAATGACGACACGACGCGTGACGCGCTAAGTGGAAACGCACCCTAAGACGTAAACAGTAAACAAATTGATCAATCACAGTTGATTGTTCTTCTCACATTTAATTGTGATTGGTCAATTTCTTACTTTTATTTCTTACTCCGCATATTGTAAACCAAGCGTTAAACCTGTATCAGACTATAGATTGGCTTAGTTTACATCGTGCACTTGATACGCGTACTAAATAGTAACTTTCTATTAGATAATCTTAATATCGACGATATATATAAACAACAGTATATTAAGCTGGTATAATCATCAAGAAAACGTATTGATTGAACGCGTCGCCGTTGATATGCATTGTTAATATCAAGATTATCTAATAGAAAGTTACTATTTAGTACGCGTATCAAGTGTACGATGTAAACCAGGCCATTAGGATTGAGATTGAATTGAAATTTAGCCAATCAGAGCAAAATTTATTAAGTTTAAGTTTGGTGAACTTTGCTCTGATTGGTCAATTTTCAATTCAATCTAATAGCCTGTTCGACTGGCTCTGGGTTAACCCACTCTGGGTTATTCAGCCTACGTTTATTGGTCGAACACTTATAAGCTTTATGATTGGCTAGTAGAGACTTATGACGTCATTAATCGCTCTCGGAGCGATTAACCTAGGGCCAGTCGAACACGCTATCAGTTTTAATCCATAGTCTGATATGGGCTTTTGGTCTCTTCGTGTTGCTTGACTTTTGACACTTTACACATAGGCCCATATTTTCTCTTTTATCAATGGGTGCGTTCAGCGAACTCAACAGTTGCACAACAGTTGAGCAATTTGTCATTGTAATTGGTCTAGATTTAGGGATCTAACAGTAAGAACCAATAATCGTTGATTACTCACTGAACCCTTTTTCTGCTGAACGCGCCCATTGTTTTCTCTGCATCTACGGATGCAGAAACCGTTGTGTTTTATGAACGTACCCAAAAATTCACAATCGACTCTTAGGTCGAATAAACTTTAATAATCGACTTTTCACTAGAAGAGAAAGATTAAACATCGATTCATCGATCGATTATCGGCCATCCCTACCTTAACCTGTGTTAGAATTTGTCATCCGTATGAATACGGCTGTCGCCGTTGCAATAATAATTCGTGGTACGGTATTTATAGATAATATACGCCGTATAATGTTGTCGTTGCAGTGCCGTGGTATGTCGCGATCGTTTTGCACTTGAAAATACTCGTGAACGCGACACGTTGCGCAATTCACATAGTGAGCACAATAATGACATTTTGGCGAGGATACGGTGTGCCATAAAAATGTCTCTGTTCACCTACTGATAACAATTGGACCGTAATTTCTTGTGGTGTGTATTACATCTTGAATGTCCCACTGAAACTTTATTATGCTTTTAACATCGTGTATGTGTGTGTATTTACTTGGAAATAAAATGATAAGAATGGCTGACATCCTAAGATATGTCTGACCTTAATATATTCACATTAATAATTAATTCCTAATTTCGTAAATTTGTGTTATCACATGCTATTTTCAAGATTGTAATGGAAGTTCTTTAATTTAATTACAGAAAAACAGATATTTGGTTGATATTTGAAAGCAATTTGTGTATGTGTGTCTATTTGAAACAATGATGGAGTTGAGTCATAGTCTGACTCTCAATGAGGATGCTCTTAATCAAATCCCAGAAGCCAAACGGCCAGTTTTTATCTTTGAGTGGTTACGCTTCTTGGATAAAGTCTTGGTTGCTGCTCAGAAGGTATTGTTTTGATAGACATTGACATTTGTAACTTTATAAAATTTATGTTTGAATATAAATAATATATCCGTATCTATGTTACGATATATATACTAAAAATAATTTCTTTTTTAATAAAATATTATAATACATTTTATATTTACAGAGTGATATTAAAGGATGCCAGCAAAAACTTGTGGAGCAACTAACCAGACATATGCAAGGAGCTCCTGGTCCACCTACACGACGTCTCATAGCAAGATGCCTTGCTACCTTGTTCAGCGTTGGTGATACATTTTTACTTTTTGACACTGTTAACAAATGCAATGATATCCTGAGAAATAAAGATGATTCACCAAGCTTTCTACCTACAAAACTGTAAGTATTTATATATTTTTTTTAGTTTAATAGAATGAAATATTTTACTTATTAAAATATAATGAAATAATTCTGTAATACATATATGCTATATAAATTATGTTTTTCTAGAGCTGCTATTTGTTGTGTGGGATGTATGTATGAGAAACTAGGAAGAATGATGGGCAGATCATATGAGGAAACAGTGCAAATTTTGATAAAGTCTTTACGTTCTGCAGAATCACAAACACGGATAGAAATTATGCATACATTGGAAAAGGTAGCTGAGTGATTTACTGACATTTTCTAAGCATTCATTTAAATGAAATATATCATTAATATATACTTCATATGTATATTATAATCAGGTGTGTGCTGGAATGGGATCAGCGATAACCAATGTGCATAAGGAGATATATAAAGTTTCCAAACATTATCTGACCGACAGAGTAATGGCGGTGAGATGTGCTGCTGCTAAGGTATTTTTATAGCTATAAAAAATATCCATTATCTTTTTTCTCAGTAATTACAGCAGTTGCTATTTACAGTGTTTGTTGGAAATGTTAAATCATGCTCCGTTTTTATACACAACCGAGATCGAAAGTGTGGCAACACTATGCTTTCGAGCATTCGAAGGTTCCAATTACGAAGTGAGATGTTCCGTCGCTAAATTGTTGGGCACCTTAGCAGCAATGACGCAACTTCCGTCGCCCAAGATAAAAAATCTTACAGGTAAATGTTTGATAAAAGTTTATCATAAAAATGGCTTCCTGTTGCATGTGTGTATATGTATAAATATATAAATAATATATTTCTCTCTTTTCTGTAGTTGCGCAAAATAAAGGTGCCAAGCAGACATCTCTCGAGGAGATATTAAATATTTTGACGTCCGGATTTCTGAGAGGTGGCGCTGGCTTTCTGAAAGGAACAGGCGAGATAATAAAAGGAAGTTCTAGCATAAATAGAGAAGTGCGAGTTGGAGTGACACACGTAAGCAATTATAAATGTTAATACATTTTTCAAAAATATATGCTTCTGGATTCTCTAACTAGTTGCGTATACGTAAGTTTTACTGTGCAGCTATTTTATGGCATGATTAAACCTGCTCAGTAAAACTTACGTATACGCAACTATTTCAAGAATAAGGGCCCTGAAGATGTAACTTATGCATCCTTAATGTTGACAGGCTTATGTAGTGTTTGTGCAAATGCTGGGAGGTATCTGGCTGGAAAGGAATGTCGGCGCATTAGTCGCGCATGTTCTAGACTTGGTTACGAATCCAAAAGCTGCTAATTCGCACGTCGAGGCGGTGTATTCGCGCAAATGTGTGAATTTCATATTGCGCGGTACTGTTGGCAAATTGTTGGGTGAAGGCGCTCAAGCCGCCGCCTGCAAAGAGATAGCGCATATTATTTTAAAACAAATGGATTCCATTGGTAATAACATCGTCGTCGCTATTATAATATTTCACTTCGTGTTTCCATAGCACGATAATGCAATGTCAACTGCTTTGCAGATTTCAATCCTGAGAACGCTAAAGACTACAATCAAGAGACGCTGTTTAATCAACACTTGTTGGTCTGCGCGTTACAAGAGATGGGTAATTTGATACTGGGATTAGGTACCACAGCCACGAATTTATTGTCTGATCAATCTCTGAGTACGTATTTGCGCATTTAAACCTGTAAGCTTTTTTGTAAATGTTCTCAGATATGTGGAGGTAATCTTCATCGTCGTGTATATAAGCGCGATGTGTGGTTTAATTATATATTTTTATTACAGGTTTAATCGATACTATAATGGCTGTCTTGGTACACCCGTGCCAAGCGGCTAGGTTGGCTGCCTCTTGGTGCTTACGGTGCATATGTGTGGCAGTGCCGAGTCAAATAACACCTTTGATCGACCGTTGCGTTGATGGGATTGAGAATATGCGTAGCTCACCAGAAGCGATCGCTGGCTACAGCAGCGCTCTCGCTGCTGTGCTGGGAAGCGTTCGTTTGTCGCCTCTGGGAGTCCCTCACACCAAGGGGAAGGTATACACTTTCACGTGTTATTTTTACTTATTGATTATTTACACACACATACACATATGTATACGTGAGATCCACTTACCAAGACCGTAATTTTCAGATCATTTTCAATACAGCGGAAGAACTGCTCAGAAGCGCGAGCCAAAACAGCCGTTTGTCTCTGAATCGCACGCACGCAGGATGGCTTTTAATAGGAGCGATAATGACTTTAGGTATAAATATCTTGCATATTAAATGACATATCTATATGCCTGCGTATATAATTTCGTTGTAATTTACGATAATGAAGGCACCGCGGTGGTCAAGGGCTTATTGCCGAGAATGTTGCTCTTATGGAGAAATTGCTTCCCGCGTTCAAACAAAGAGCTCGAGAGCGAGAAAGCGCGTGGCGATGCTTTCACGTGGCAGGTGACTCTGGAAGGACGTGCTGGCGCACTTTCCGCTATGTACAGTTTCTTGCTACATTGCCCGGAGCTTTTGAACGACGATATTACACGGCGATTGCTTACACCGATTGAGTCTGCTCTGGCGATGCTGACGAAGTACGAATGTCTTAATGCTTCTCCACTTAGAATTAATTATACAATTTTCTCCTATAAATGTTTCTTTCAGTCTGTCACCCGTTTTAAAGAATTATGGTCAACAGTTGAAAGCTCCCGCGGCTATGGTCCGTTTACGTTTGTACGAAACATTATTGTTGTTACCACCGCAAACGTTCGAAGGTAATATCGACATGTTATAGTAAATTAAGACGATTGAAATTTATTCTTCTGTTTCCTCTCTTTTAATGTAGGTTCTTACACGCATCTTCTGAGGATGCTGGTATCCGAATTCACGCTCACCGATAATCCCGGGAACACAACTACTTCTTTGTTACGCGTAGTTTGCCACGCTAATGATTCCGTGATTCTTGGAACGTGGCTTCAGGAGACCGATCATCGTACGATAGAGGATCAAGTAAGTGCATTGATTCATCTATATTTTATTTTGCGAAATAATTTTTATTTTTACGAAATAGCATCACATTGTCGTTCTTAACATTCGAATGAATGATTAATTTTTTAATTTTAAAAGTTATCTCTTTTCAAGAACTTTCTTATTAAAGATTCATTTTCGTAATCAAAGTTATTTTCAGCTAAAAATAATTTTAGTTTTACAATTTTCACGCGTAACCAATATTCTTTTAATATCCCTATTGAGAAAAAGTTACAATCAAATGACTAAAGCAGACGTATTGTAAAGAGTATTTTCTTTTTGTCATGTAATTTGTTTCGTGCTTGTGCAATCCACGTTTTATCTTTTAACTGTATATTGTATTTAGATATAATTAACAAAGAGATAATTAAATGTTTCAAAATACGTTTCTTGTAAGCTCTTATGGAATGTATTTTTTTATCTTGACTCACAAGTTAACGTGCTTATTCATGTTTAGATGGAACCAAACAGAAGGGCAGATTTGGAACATGTGAGTAAGATGTTCTGTAAAGTTTGCCTTTCGTTTCTGTTACAGAAATAATTTTACTTTCAACCTATATTGTATAAAACTGAGAAACATTTTACTTTATGCACTCTATACTTTTCTTTCCTATTATTATATTATAGTTTGATAATTAGTAGTATTTAATTTCACTATATTTTACACAGTTGCTTTGAAAACACCGAATATTTGATGTTTTACACATAGTACTCGTTACATTATGTTTTGCTTGTGCCATTTTAGAAAAATCTACGACTTATTATAAGCTTATAATAAATGAAAAGTGCTTATTTACTTGCATTTATTATTTTATGTTTCTTTTTCTAGGTTACACAACGTAGTTTCGTTTCTTTTATTATATGATTTAAAGTTATTGATCTATAATTATTGATCTGTGACTTCTTTCAGCTTCAACCAAATAGTGCTGCAGGATCCGGAGCATTAGAACATAATACGTGCTGCCTCTACAGACCTATACCACATGTAAGCTTAAGATCTGTTGTAAATTCTATCGTCATCGCAGTTATCTCCACGATTTAAGTAAAATTGTAATATAAATTATGATTCTTTATAGATTGAAATAATACCTGGTCCATTGCCGTTAGGCGTAGCGGTGATTGACTTATCGGTCACGTTATTTGGTCAGATCTTCCCGCGTGTAGCGAACAAACATAGACTGCAGATGCTGGATCACTTTAGTGAGTGTATAAAGCATACAAAGTCTGGTAGGCAGGAGGCGATACAGATGAATGTGTTCACGGCTGTGTTGAGCGGTCTGAAGGGTCTCAACGAGGCGAAGACAGGTTTCGGACAGGAAGACGTCAAGAAATCTGCAACGAATCTTATCATTGTAAGAAATTGTTATTATATTGAATAAGATGCTGTCGACTCATTTAGAACCGATTAAAACACCCTATGTTTCAGAGCACACTGGTCAGTGGTAATCCTATTCTACGATGGGCGGCAGGAGAAGCGGTTGGCAGAATGGCGCAAGTGATTTCTGATCCTAAATTCACCGCGGAACTGGCGCAGACCAGTTTCGATCGCTTGAAGTCCGCGCGAGATGTCGCCAGTAGGACTGGCCATTCGTTGGCGTTGGGCTGTTTGCATAAATACGTCGGTGGAATGGGTTCTAGTCAACATCTCAACACCAGTGTCAGCATCCTGCTTGCTCTCGCGCAGGATAACTCGTCTCCCGTAGTACAAGTGAGACACTACTTTTACATCTGTTATCTTATAGCTTATTTACTTACTTTCACATTGATTCTGGTAACTAAAATGTTTTCCCGTAGGTCTGGGCGCTTCATGCTCTGGCTTTGATAGCCGATTCCGGCGGACCAATGTTCAGGGGTTACGTAGAACCTACGTTGTCCTTGGCACTAACTCTCCTTCTCAATGTTCCTCACTCTTACATCGACGTGCATCAATGTATCGGCAAGGTCTTGTCGGCATTGATCACTACGATAGGGCCAGAATTACAAGGTAGAGAGTGTATTTAATTAATTGTGCATAAGCTAATTGCGGGATAGATGGCCACAGTTTTTTTTTAGAAAAAAAAGAATTAGTTACAAGCAACACATTTCAGGTAATACATCGACGATCTGTATGGCGCGATCATCGTTCTTGTGCGCGTGCGCCATTATGCAGGACCATCAGGATCCACTTGTTCAAGCGGAAGCGACCGGTTGTCTTCAGCAATTACATCTCTTCGCACCGAGACACGTCAATCTGTCTTCCTTTGTTCCTACGTTATGTGTAAGTTAGAAATAAGGAGTACTATTTGTGTGTGAAAATGCTTATTGTGGATGGACGTTATTTTTCTTGCTTCTTTTATTTGTAGCGTACTTTGTCAAGCAATCACTTACTCTTGCGCAAGGCGGCGATATCGTGTCTCCGACAGCTTGCTCAGCGCGAGGCGAAGGAAGTGTGCGAGCACGCGATGACATTAGCTAACGAAAGCCGGGACACTAACGTAGTAGAGGGTCTCGTTATTACGGAGACTGGCCTTCCAGGCGTTCTTTTCAGCATGCTCGACACGGAAACCGATAGTAAGCTGATTAGAGATATTCACGATACTCTAACCAGCATGCTGCAGATATTGGCGGCCGACAATCTGTCTCAATGGTTATCATTATGCAAAGATGTTCTCACAATAGCTTCAGGTGAGTAGTTTGTGTTCTCACCTTGAATTGTAGAAGAAAGATTTTTCTTTACAATAACGTGTGCTTTGACGTGTAGAATCGAGTACGATCGAGGAAGGTAACGCCGCGAATGCGGAAGACAGTACTGCTGACAATGAGATTGCGGATGCAGAAGGTGACGACGATCAGGCCGAATTCCATGCTGACGAATCTGCCAAGCAGCGGCCGTCTATCACGCCGAGATGGCCGACCAGAGTTTTCGCGGCGCAATGTGTTAGGCGCATCGTCGCAGCTTGTGTGAATAACAAACAAGCGCACTTCGATCTCGCTTTGGCCAAGGAAATGCAGTTATCTAAAGGGAAAGGTGCGATTAATTTGCAAGCATTATTGTTTTTTGTGTTGATTCCAATTAATTTTTAATATTTATATCATTTAGGAGACTTTCTAGTGTTACATCTCTCGGACTTGGTGCGCATGGCGTTTATGGCTGCAACGAGCGATTGCGATCCGTTGCGACTCGAAGGTCTCAAAACTCTGCAAGAAATCATCGACAAATTCGCCAAAGTTCCCGAGCCGGAATTTCCCGGGCATCTATTACTTGAACAGTTTCAGGCACAGGTAAATTATATTCGCTTAACATCTACTGAGATTTGTCGTCTGAAATATCTTTCATATTATACCAAATGTTCACAAAGGTTGGAGCTGCTTTAAGGCCGGCATTTTCCGCGGAGACTCCGTCACACGTAACGGCCGCAGCCTGTGAAGCTTGCAGTGCGTGGATCGGTAGTGGCGTTGCTAGAGATCTAAATGATCTTCGAAGGGTGCACCAGCTGCTAGTGTCTTCTCTGGAGAAATTAAGGGAAGGTAATACTCGGCCGCAGCTTTACAACGAGAGTTTGTCAACACTAGAGAGATTGGCGATTCTAAAAGCATGGGCAGAGGTATATTAAAAATATCACGTTATACATTCAAAACGGATACACTATAATATCTGAGAAAGAAAAGATTAAATTCATTGTTTTGTAATTATCAATAGGTGTACGTAGTTGCTATGATAAGAGATGGATCCGCACTGAACAGCAAAGATACGATTAATCGTAACGCGAATCAAACTGACGAAACGAACGAAGAGGATTTCGGGGAGTTCGAGTTCCAGAGTGAGAGCTTGCTGAGTCTCGTCCAGCCAGAGCTTCTGAGTTTGAGTCAACATTGGCTGTCTGCGTTAAGAGATCATGCATTACTCTCTTTACCACCCGGTATATTAAGATTTTTATTCAAATTTTTATACAGTGCACGTATCTCTTTTGAATCTAATTAAAATTGCGATTATATGGGATCTCCTTAGAATTTTCCAGTCAGTTGCCGCACGATGGTGGGGCCTTTTACACGACAGATACGATGGAGTCCGCGCGTCCTCATTACGTAGAATCGTGGGCGCCGATTCTCCACGCCGCGACACTCTGGCTGAACGCGAGAGGATTCGAGATGGAAGACAGTAACCAAGAGAAAGCAACTAATGCTACTAACAACAACAATCATAACAACAATAACAACAATGACGAGACCTCCAAAACTAACACAAATGTTGAGCGTTTCCATTTGTTATTTGGTAAATATACATTATAAATATATATTATAATATATTCACTTGTATGTGATTTTCATATAAATCATATAAAATTTTACTTTGATCTTGATTCAAGTATTACTTACAATACGCTTATTGTTATAGGCATATGTATGGAAGCTTTGTGCAGTCCTCGCTGTTCTGAATCCCCACAGAATATAGAGACATGTTTGAATGCTTTGTACACTTTACTCGATTCAGCATGGGCGCGTGAGGTCTTCATCACGGACCGTTCTTTACCCATCGAATTGTGTAATGTTCTGCACAGGTAGATATATTCAAAAGTACACAACTTATTTTTCTGTAGCATAATATTAATGACCGTGTGTTTGTTGTTCCAAAGATTACTTCTAACACGGGAAAACTATGTCATTCAAATGATAGTCATGGAAGTGTTGAAGCAAGTGATGAAGGCAGCGCAAGAAGATCTTGTTACTAAAAAGAAGCTGAAACTTAAAGGTATTTTATTTACGAATTTTTCTACGTTATGTCTGACATAAAATATATATATCGTTTGTGCTTATATTTACGCGTACTTACAACAGATGACATACCAATGCAACAAGAAAGTAACGAAACATTAGAGTTAGATCTATTGGGAGAGGGAGAGGAAAGTGGCGAGCTCACACCAGGCGAATCGCTAGTATTCGCTGTCTTAGAGGTGTGCTTGTGTCTCCTGGTACGGCAGATACCGGCGTTAAATCCGAATCCTGGCGGTGCCACTGCCATCTTGTCTCAAAGGGGATATGTGCCGTCTGAAGAAAGCGGCAAGTTGATCGCGTTGTCCCTCAACATAATGGAATCTCTTCCTATATTATGTTCTCCGCAAGGTATATGCGAAGCTAACGTAGTGCACTATTTCAATTGGCAGTCCAATATGTAATATTTTACGCTTTCTTCTTCGTCATATTCTAAAGGTGCAGTGGCAATTCTTCCGACGTTATTGTATTTGGCGACTGGTGTAATACGAGAAACCGCAGTGCGTACGGACAACGACATCACTAAAGCCGGCGCGGAAGCACCCGTCCATGCCGCGTTACACTGCGTAAAAAATCTTACCACTAACAAGTATGCTAAGGATCACAGAAGTCAGGAGCAGTGGACAGGATTGCTACGAAGCGCACTTGCTAAAATCATCGATTTGGCTAAAACAGGTATGATTTTTTGTATGTTGATTCTACTTTTTATTAAAAGAACAATAAATTAGATAAGAGAACATCGTGTATCAGAGATTTGAATACATAAGAAGCAGTATAAGATATTGGGATATAGAGAAATATGAAGTATCAGTTAATATGATTAGATACTAGATTCTGCTTAGACACAAATATCTAATTAGAATATAAATATCATAGTGATTGAACATATTGATGTGACATATATTTTACTCGATTTATTTACTCTGTTGATTTTACTTACAGGAAATGACGAAACCAAGATGGACGAGGTGGCAATGATGTTGGGTATCGCGGTATTCGTGCTTCATGCGTCGCCGGAGGTAGTGAGTGCTCCAAACCTGCAATTTCCATGCATCAATCATTTCCGTCATGCGTTTCAGTCCGAGAACATAACGGTGAGTTGACAACGGACGACCAACCTTAGATTGCTGCTTACAATCACTGATTGGGAAATTAAATGAGACAAATTTGTATTGATAGGTGAAGCTGAAATGTGTGCAAACGTTAAGAACGATATTTCTGCATCCGGAGCGTAACATAAGTACCCCGTATATCCACGCTCTCGCACCGCGATTGGTAGAATATCTATATAGTGATAAGAGCAAGCAAGTGGCAAACGAGATGGAATTGACATTTACTCTGGAATGTATTAGTACGGTGGAAGCTCTCATAGGACTCGCTGATCTCCCCAATCGTAAGTAACCATTATTGCAAAATCAATGAGGATCGCTTACCACACAATTATTTCATAATTGTGAAACGATACGTTAATGCAGAATATGTTGCACGCTGTTCAGGAGATCTGTTACAAGGTGTGTGGAAAATGGAGATCTTAGTATTTACTCTTCTAACATTTTAATAAACGATCAAATCGTTTATGGCTGCGTTCGGGGAGACGCTATTTAGCGCTATGAGTGTGCTCTGTTTGTTCCTGAAAGTTGAACAAGGACAGAGGATGCTCATAGCGCTAAATAGCGTCTCCCCGAACGCAGCCTATATCGATTGTGTATATTACACGTGGACTCGATATATAGTATAATGTATCTGAAATTTTTAGGTATTCAAATGCTGACTTTACTCGTGCCAATTTTAATTAATTATTTGCTGGAGGGTGATGAGCTTCAGCGCGCTACCAAGTATCAAGCAAGCCTTCATCAGCAGAGTTTTCAGTGGCTCAATAAGATCGGACCGAAGTATCCGCAGGTATTATATTTCAAAGATACTTTCGAATCACGCATGTTGTGTGTTATGTGTGTACTGATTATATGTTATTACTATTATCTGAATGACAATTGTTTATATTTTTAGGAATTCAAGACGCTGATGTCACAGTCCAGCGAGCTGAAGACTAAATTGGAAAATGCCGTGAGATCCAGTCATCAGCAAGCGCAGCGACTTAGTCGACCCGTCGATCCTGTGAAGCCGCAGATCAAGATATCCGCGCCGTCGATCAAACTGAAGACCGACTTCTCGAATTTTAACTAGAAAAAGAGATAACGATATTAGGGATAATAAAGCGCGAGTGCACTCACTCAATTAATCTGGCGCAATGATTATCGATTAATTAAATCGAATTAATCGCTATATGTAACGTGTTTTAGCATCGTGATAATTACCAAGTGATAATATTCCACTTAGAATTTCGCTGTTATAGGAAAACTTACCCGACTGTACTTAGAGTTAAACGATCAGAAGCCGATAACATCGTGGCAGATATGCAAAGGATGGTTGGAAAAGCGACACGAATGGGGAAAATTAAGATTGATCAATCAAATCGTTATGAAACGATGTTTATTTTATATTCTTCTCATTCCGTTTAATTTTCTCACACGATTTGCTGAATAACGTTCCTTACTTTCCAATCGTGCTTTCTAAAATGCAGGAAGAGAACATTATATTAAATTCGTAAGTTGTATATATGTAGAAGATATAGTATATAACATTATAGAGATTATTAATTTATTTAATAATATATAAATGAACGATGTTAAAAAATGTTCTCATCATACAACTTCAATAACGAGACGATATAAATGATAACGAGTAAAGATTTTATTCTGTTTGGTTACGTTCAGCAGAAAATCTTATAACAATTTAAACAAAGCTGCTGCCAGCGCAGCGGAAAGCGTTTACTAAGACTGCGTTCCGAAATTCACTGCTAGTGCTGAAATTCTGTGGTATACATAACATGAACTATAGATTTTCAGTATTGGCAGTGAATTTCGGAACGCAGCTCAAGCTATTTTTCTGTTGAACACAGCCAAAGAGATGTTACGAGCAAACAATCGCGAAACGATACCAATATGATGTGCACAAAATAACTTCTAAATAGTGATACGCCCGTATAAACATTTTTCTGCCCATTATAAATCATATTAATTGTTCGGACGTTTGATTTTTAACCGATTCTTAATGTAACAAGACGTAATTTTTATTATACCGATAGAATTATTTATTAACTACGAACAGTTAATTCTTCTTAGGAATACACTACTTGCCATGAAAACGAACGAGGAAACAGACATAAATGTGAGTGAATGTCAGACACTGATATAATGACACACTGATTAAAACAAGAACACATTTAACGTTCTTCTGATGAGAAGACTGATAATCTGCTGTGCGTTTTTATTTAATGACTGTGTACTAGTAGTATTTTCCATACATTTGTTTTTATTATCTATCTAGAATTGATAGTAGAACCGCGCTAGCAACTATCGAGGGAATGTCTGATGTGACATATCGAGCTATAACGAGCTCTTTTATAGAACCTGTCTTTTTTTAAATAAAAACAATGATCCTTTTCTGACCGCGATGAGATGCACGACAAGTACATTTATCGAATTAGCATACAATGCTAATACAATGCTGGCGTCACGGCGAAACAGTGGATCAATTCTTAACTTTTAGAAAAGAAAAACAGTTCTTTGTCAAACGTAGATTATAACCCGGATTGAATTGAAAGAACCAACAGCGAACTGTGTAACGTCAAATTATTAATATAAACGCAAGGATGCAATTTGAAATTGAGAAACATCTTTCTCTGAATTTGAGATGGCAGTGACTACGTTTACACGTCTCTAATCAGTCGGTTTTAGTAACATCCGTAGTTACAACTTCAAACTCTTTCAAAATGCATGCTCGTTTACACGGAATGATTTCGGTTCATTACTCTATATCTCTTTATCAATAGATGTAGAGTAACAGCAACTTGTATGTAATCCGCTGTAAAGTGTAGCTAATATGACACATGGTGCTGGTTGCTATAACTAACACCACGTGTATGGTCGGAAGTTACTAAGCCGGTTTTACGCTATCGTGTAAGTGTGTGGTCGTATAGTGACACCGTTTTAAAGTCGTATAACAAGTCAATCAGATGTAATAATTTAGATACGACAATTTAGATTGCGACGGTGTTGCAGCAGGAGCATTGATGGGTGTAATTTTACAACGTGGACTAAGTCTTTATATAGTCGTCATTTTGTAATAGTGTAGCGTCCTTGTGAGAAACAAGTAAATTGGAACTTATCACACGAAAAAAAAAACAAGTTGAATTTCCGTAAAAATTCCTTTCAACATACTTATTTCTTGCTGGGATTTAGATTGACCATCGTATAGAAGACAGTCTTTCCATTTAACGTTCTGCATAGGAAGTGCTCACCTCTACGTATGTATATAATTAAGTTCAAGTTGCGTACTAGATCTGGTATAGCGCGTATCACTGATAAATTTTATAAGAAACTGAGACGAATCGTTAGATGCGGGAAGGATTATGTGCTCGATAGATGTTCTACTATTTTTATATGATTATTTTAGGAACACGTTGATTGTTTGTAACTTTTAATTACGCGTCTGCGAAAACAACCGTTTATATGATATATATATGTGTATATGTATGTACATATATATACGTATATATGGTCCATCGAACTTCCGTGTACAATGAATGTTTCAAGTCGCGTTTTATCCGAGGCAGACATTTTCTCTGACAAATGGTACAATTACATGTAGTGTTATATTATATAATGATTGCAGTTAACGAAATAAATAAAGATAACTGATGACACTTTTGTTTTTCATTTTCTTCTCTGTTACATCACAAAAGATAAGGATCATTAAGATAGAGGTTTTTGCCTAGACGTATCTTCTAAAGCAACTAGTCAGCATCTAGCGAGAAATGACTCATCAAACAATGTTGAAACGATCTCGAAACCATCAAATCGACGTCGAACAATGAGTTATTTCTTGCTAGGTGTTTTCTTTGATGCTGATGCATAACTGGTCTATAATACTTGATCAGCATTTGCACAGATCATTGATATAATTAATTTAAATCTGATGTCAATCATGAATTGCAAATATTATTCGGTAATTTTTGTATATTTGTTAAACAATTCTTCCTCTCTTTTTAATATGATTATCGGAATATTAAAATTCATTTGCAGCATCTCATACAATAGTTCGTCTACGTAGTTATTTATAAAATGCTATTGTATAATATTAAATAAAGTATAAAATATAAAAATATAAAATATACAAATATAAAAAGATAAACAATTAAGCGATAAAAAAATTATCTAAGATTAGTAATTGCAATTTTGTAACCCGTTAACTATCTTATCACCAATATAACATATGATACAATATCACCAGCACTGTATATCGTTGCTCATTTTTTTTAGCATATATTGTACTTGCGCAACTTTAACGACAGTTAACGAATTCCTACACGAAACTTCACCAACCTTCATTAGACGTCCATATAACATCCATAGCTCCACTAGATATCTATTTCCACGATAGATGTCTAATGGACCTCTATATTATACCTACACACATATGATAAATTATATTCATCATATATTACAATCTAGAGTTCTTATAGACATATATAGGATCTCTTATAGATATTATATGGAACATTTAAAAATATAAAATAGATGTCAACTGAAAATATAACGAATTATTTAGTGAAATATAAATACATGTTCCGTGTGAGTATAGTTTAGAAAAGTGTGTTCAGTAGAAGTCGTATACTATTAGCAGCACAAAAAACCTAAACAATATCTTATCTGGTTTGATTTTAAGACGACATTCGAAACAAGTGCAAGTGCGAGCTTAAAATAATTTGAAATTCAAAATATGAAATGTTAAATAAATACTATGCGCGAAAGATAAGAGCAAAAAAGATATACGATGAAGGTAAAAAGAGGTCTAAAGTTCACTCACGCTTTTATCGATAACGAATTATTTAAAAATAATTTTCGATAATTGTGGAATTAATTCCTCAGAAAAGGAATTTTCGCAGCTGAATTTTTGTTTATGTCATCAAACAGAGATCTCACACAGCTATCGTAGTTCGCTCTCATTTTCATAAACTCATTTTTTTAAATAAAATTACTCCAGGTTTAAACCGGTCTTGTGTTTGAGTGTATGTACGTGTGAACGAGTATAAATACCTTCACAAGCGGTGTATCTAAAGCAGTGTAACGCGAGCTACTGTCACGGAACCATCAGTTTTTCACTCAGTCATAGTCTAGCATTTAATGAGACTGTTATGAGTTTTGGTTATACTTTAATTCGAAAAATCTCGACACATCCACGTAAAATGGTAAAGGCAAAGCGGTACGTTGTCGCCAAACACTTCGTGAACTCTCCGGAGCCAGCGGATTTAAAATTAGTGGAAGAAGAATTACCAGATTTGCAAAATGGAGGTAGGTATACACTGAAAGAAAAGATATCTAAAAATAGTAAATATTTAAATATTTTGTTGGGTACTAATAACATATTTACTTAAATTTAAATTCTTTTATCTTTCAAATGGAGTGAACAATTGCTTTCATGAAAGGCTCAGATTTTCTTAAAGTTTTAAGAAAATATATATTTTCCTATTTGTAAAAAAGCTATAAGAGAGAAAAACGGAAAAAGACATTATAAGTAGTATTTCCAATTTAAATATTGCGACATTTAAATATCATTGACATTCACAGTTTAATTTAATTAAATTTACACGGAATTTAATTAAATTATATGTTTTTCCTTCAGAATATCTTGTGCAAGCCGAATACCTCTCTGTGGATCCGTACATGAAACCGTACGTGCTAAAATATCCACTTGGGATCACGATGATCGGCGCTCAGGTTGCTAAAATCGTGGAATCCAAGAATCCGAAATATCCGATCGGCAAGAGAATCGTTGGATATCTGGGCTGGAGAACGCACACAATTATTGATCCAAATATGAAAGAGGATGAAAATTTCATGAACAGAAATGAATATATTTTGCCGGACATTGGCGATCTATCGCCGTCTCTTGCTTTAGGCGTATTGGGAATGCCGGGGTAAGCCTTTTAGATTTATATACCAGCTTATCATTTTATAATGGTGAAAAAGAACAGCGTACATGCTGAACAAAATTAAGAGCATACCTCGATCAAATTCACAACAGCTGCAAAACAGCTTTCTCTACTAAACAAAAATTTACCAGTGGAACGTAACAACGCTCTTCACTCGACGTTTTGTTGAATTGCACTTAAATTCTAAACTTTCCCTACAACTGCACCGACTAAATGTATAGATAAGAAAACGTAAAATATTACGCAATATCGTCTTATAGATTAAGCGAAGTCTGAATATAACACAATCAAACATTTACTTATCAATGGCTGTGTTTAGTAGAGAAAGCTGTTTTGCAGTTGTTGTGAATTTGATCGGAATATGCTCTTAATTTTGGCTGAACCTGAGAGCATATACCAATCAGATTCACGAATTTTACAACAATTGTAACACAGTTTTCTCTGCTGAACGCAGAAGTCAGAGTTTCCGTCCACTTTTCGTTGAAAGAAACGGATGTGAAGCAATGGCATAAATTATGCTTCTTTTTATAGCAATACGGCTTACTTCGGCTTGTTGGAGATATGTAAACCAAAGCCTGGCGAAACACTTGTTATCAGCGGTGCCGCTGGAGCGGTTGGCTCTCATGTAGGTCAGATTGGAAAAAACATGGGTCTTACAGTTATCGGCATATGTGGCTCCAATGAAAAGTGCAAATGGCTGACCGACGAGTTGGGCTTCGACTTTGCTATCAATTACAAAACCATGTCGGTCGTAACGAGTTTACGTAAAATTGCTCCGCAAGGCGTCGATTGCTACTTCGACAATGTAGGTCAATGATACATTATAGTATATTTTGATCAACTCCAGCCAATTGCGTACCCAGATAGCACAGAGAATTCAAAAAGGATTCAAAAAGAATTCAATCGCATGTCACCAATTCTGAATTCATTTTTAGATGTAAAAAGAATTTTTTTCACTGAACTGAACTTTGACGAATTCTTTTTGCACCTAAAAATAAATTCAGAATTGGTGACATACGACTGAATTCTTTTTGAATTCTCTGTGCTATCTGGATAGTCTCATAAATACTGTATAGTTTTACGATGAAAGCAATTAATCAATCTTATCAAGCAATTATTAGTAGATAATATCTTACAGAAGATAATTTCATCGAGATAGCAGAAATTTTATTAGATTGCAGTATTAGATAGCTGTTTTCGCAAGCTCAAAACTTACGAGAAGTCGTATATAAAGAAATATTGCGAAAGAAAAAATGATCGATCTTATTAAATGATATTAAATGATGATCTTATTACTTTAACATGTTCTTGATAATATTTCAGATTTTCGCGACGTGATGAAATGCTTGATCTTGCTTTTAGGTTGGCGCTGCGTTCTTCGTGGATTTATTTTTAACACTTCGTAAGCATTTCAGTTCACTTTTTCAGTTCAGTTTTTCAGAGTCTTCTTCAGTAGAGGAACGACCTAAGAGATTTCTGAAGAAATGAACTGGTATGAATGTTCACGAAACGTCGCAAATAAGTTCACGAAGTACGCAGCATCCGGAAGCCAGATCAAGAATATTTTTTCGATAATGTATTAATTTTCCTATTAGTGACAATTGCATTTGCAGGTCGGCGGGGATATCTCGAGTGCGATTATGTATCAAATGAACCAATTTGGTCGAGTAGCAGCTTGTGGTAGTATTTCGTGTTATGAAAAATCGTCTTTGCCACAGTGCATGATCCTCCAACCGGCAATAGTGTCTAAAGAATTAAAAATGGAAGGATTCATCGTACGTCGCTGGAAGGACCGCTGGCAGGAGGGAATCCAGCAAAATCTGCAATGGATTCGGGAGGGCAAGCTCATTTATCGGGAGACTATCACGAAAGGTTTCGAAAATATGTTCGAGGCTTTCATAGGCATGATGCATGGCCAAAATATTGGCAAGGCAATTGTCCAAGTGTAAAAATCCACTAGTTTTATCGTAATCTTAAAAAAATTATAATTTCATAAAAAGTTTTAAATGTTTATAAAAAGAATAAAAATGTTTCTTTATCAGAGCAGATGTGTGCGAGCAGATATTCAAATTTTTACAAAATATATTTTCCAAGGTAGTGAGTTTCAAAATTTTGTGACCAAGTCCCAATAAATGCGTTTGTAATTATATATTATAGTTAATTATAATTGTGTCAGTTTTGTCATAATTACAACTCGCATTTTTGCTTATTTTCTACGGTAAAGTGTTTCGGTAGTCGTGAGTATCTAATGGAGTATCTAGCGCCATTTAACGGTGACATATAGAACCGTCATAGCTTAATGATTTGAGTCTTAGCTAAGATTGTTTCAATCTCGATTAAAATGGTTCATGTCTTAGCTAAGACGCAAACATTAGTTCCAAAGTTTCTACTATGAGTCGCCACTATCAGTATACAGTATCAATAATATAGATTTGAGGTCACAATATAACTCAACAAGTCGAGTTATACGGATCTCTCGCGATCCAATAATATGATTCAGAGGCACATCAGAAGCATTTTTATTGAACCATGATAAATATGCAAAATTTAACAAACTTTAAATTCGTTAGATTTAATAATAAGATGGTTAAGAAAGCATTTTACAGCTTAATATCTTTCTAGCTTTCAGGCATATTAAGATCACACATTTATATTATCAATTTTTTCATTTTTAAAATATATATTAAAAATTTCGATTTTTAATTTCAATTTCAAATTTTAATAAATTATTTTTATCTTTCTTATATATTATATGTATATATCATACGTTTTTGTTAAGACTTTCTTTTCTATTGATTTTCACGAGTTCATGTCTTCAAGATTTCGTCCCGATTTGTTTTAATGTATATTATTTAAAAACATTGTAAGAAAACAAGTATATTGTTTTTAAGTTATATAAATTATATAACTTATACACAATTTTTATATTTATATATACTTATATAAGTTATATCCGAATCAAATGGATCCTTCGACACATACTTGTCCTGCAAATTAATGTTTTACTCGATCCACTCTGACAGACACGATATCACGTGCAATTCACGACGATGCTTCAATGAAACGATATGTTTCATCATTCGCCTCACTGCGCGCGCGCTGTGTGTATTCTGCTACTTTTCTCTACCTTCCTTGATATTCTCCATTCTCTTTCTCACTCTGTCTTTGACGCGTCTGGCGGTCTAGTTCACTGAACGAAAGCGTGCGTCAGTCGGAAACCGGCAGTTCCCGTTGAATCTTGACAGAGTACGTGCCTCTTTTTTCGGAGACTTGCAAAAAATCGTAAAAATTTCGCTCGATCAAGATAATTCTAAAACAAATTTTAAAAGATTTGTTTCTTCGAAACGGACGTCATTTAAACAAATTTATTGATTCAATACCGAGGTTTCTCTCAGTGAACACTCTTCTTGATTTTCTGAAAAAACAGAAACGGTGAAAAACAGCGCGGCTGAAAAACAAGCAGAAAAGAAAGAAGAAGAAGAAGAGGAAGGAGAGATGGACATATATATAACACTACGGAGTCCGCTGGCTAACGTCATCGAATTATTTCGCGAATTGATAAATTGGAGTCACCAAACTGAGCTCACCACAAGAGATCTAGAGGAAACGCAGCGCTGATCTATAAATGGCGAATTGACACGGCATTATTCAAAGTAAGATTTAACTAATAACAACTAATAATACTCGAAGAACTATGCACAAAACTATTTACACTTAGTGTAGACGCATTTTTCCGTCAATTTAACCGATGCGAAATGACATAACTTAAATGGAGCGAATTCTTTGGGAAACCTTCAAAATCTATTATTACTTGGAATCAATCGATAAATGAATTTTCGTTAAGAAATTTCTTGACATTACGCGTTGCATATGTTACATAAAATGCTTCTCAAAATTACTATTAACTATTACTATTACTATAAACAATTTTCGATAAGACAAATTTCGATAAAGTTATCCGTAATGAGTGACGAACACTATGATAATAATTTATCAATTTTAGTTAGAACTGTAGAAAGAAAGAGGAAGAAGGAGACACACACACACATACGCGGATAAGTCAAAGGTCATAGAGAAGAAGAACAAAAGACAAACTTGGAAAGAGACATCGATCATCCACCAGCCGAATTTTTCTCTCGCAAAAACGCGAATATGGCCAATGACAACGCGCTTTGGGTATTTGGATACGGCTCTCTTTGTTGGTATCCCGGTTTCTCATACAGCAAAAGCATCACCGGCTACATCAAGGGCTACAAAAGACGCTTTTGGCAAGGCAACACAACGCATCGCGGTACGGTCGAGAAGGTGAGCTGAATGGCGCGCGAAAATTCTACAACCCTACCTCATTCATGATCCTTGTTAACGCTTTAAATTCTGTCAGTAGAAGACAAACGGATTTCATAAGTTTAAATATTCGCGATTAGCATCAAATTTATTCAAAACACATTCTGAATTTTAATAAGTATAGCATTTCAGTTAAGAATATTAAAGTAAATATTCGATTTAAATATAAAATCAAACCGACCATTCTTTCAATTAACTCTCATAATATTCGTTAAGAGAATAAATTCTTCTTTTAAGTGTCTAATAAATGAGCTTTTTTCAATCATGAACATTTAATGAGTATATTTTAAGCTTCTCTGAAGAAAATGTTGTTCGTTGAAGATAACAAGTACTTAAAAGAGAAAATAAAATAAGCAATCGCTTTTTTAGTAATAATATTTTTTTTTATGTACGATATACACGTGAAATTAATTAATATGACGCTACAAGGTGACTTAAATGACACATCGTGCATTTACTTCGCTCGCAAGTCGTCTTCGCAGTGCGATGCGATATACAACAAAGCTTTGAATGCGATAAAATGGACTTGTTTCTCTCGTAAATCAGTCACGCACTCCGTTCTAACGTGATTGGAACGAACATCTGAATTAATAGCTTTTAAATGAGATCTGCAATGGATCTATGAAGCGCATAGATCGACCATCGTTTTTGTTCGCACGCTAATTCCACGTAGAGATTGTCTTAACCGGCTTGCGTTGGTTTTCGACGATTTCCAAGACGCTCTGTACGCATCGTGCTCAAGAATCGTGTCTCTCTTTACCGCGTCTTTTTTCAACCACTGCACTCTCCTTTTCTCCACGTGATAAATTGCCGCTATGAAACGCGTATTTGGCTTACACTTGCGTATAGGTTATGTGTAATCGTAGCCAGTTACAAACCGGTAGTAACTGATATCCTCAAAGAGAGTTTAGCTCATGTCGCACGTTATTCTTCGTACGCTGTGCGTTTCACGCTGCGACATGAATTTTCTGCCTTACAGATTGCTTTCTTGTTCCGCACGGGAAAAGCTGCTCCGTACGAATTGAAGTTTGTTTTTCGCGCGTGAGAATAATTTTACGATAAAATTTCTCTTGAAATCCTGCTCCCCATCCATTCGCGCCACTCCCTTTTTATTCGTATCGTCGAATATTCGATAAAATGAATCATTACAGCGTCGCTGTGTTCTCTTTATTTTGCAGCCTGGTCGAGTCGCCACACTAATCGAGGACAAGGAGGTAACTGCACTGCGATTGCAACTACATTGCAATATGTACACGGAAAAAAAGATTTGGTTGAATTAACCAAGTATCTGGTCGAATATAAACGATCCCGAAATTCCGATTGAAATAACCCGAATTCTGCTTAAGTCAATCAAAAATTTCGTTATCTTAAGCAGAATTCAGGTTACTTCAATCGGAATTTCTGGATCGTTCATATTCGACCAGATATTTGGTCAATTCAACCAAACTTTTTTTCCTTGTAGCATATAACAGAATAACACTCGTGATACCATAAATGACCGAAAAACGGAACGCGCGAGCAATGCGGACTTCTTTTTCGGCAGGGCACGGTTTACGGACGAGCGTTTCAAATTAAGGACAGCGCGGCGTTACCCTATTTGGAAAATCGGGAGTGCGCTCTGGGAGGATATGCGACGACCATAGTGACGTTTCACAGCCGGGACGGGGCCAAGCAATTCCCCGTCGTGATTTACATCGCCACCAACAAGAACAAGCTCTGGCTCGGCGAAGCGTCGCTGCGGACCATAGCGCGTCAAATCACCGAGAGTTCCGGTCCGAACGGACACAACGTCGAGTACCTGTTACGGTAAGGCCCGAACAACTCACGTCGCCGTTTATAGTTACTTCACTCGCGGTCGAAAGAAGTTAACGCTATCACTCAGACGAGACGACGTCATGTGGGACACTCTATCCGGCCCCGATATATCCGAGGCGGAGTATGCGCTCTTTCTGCGAAAACCGGAAGTCTCTCAGAAGTGTGAAGTTTGTATTTGACGAAAATTACCTCTCATTCATTCAATCTTCGTTCATTATACTTTTACTGTTCCACTACACTTTTCTTATGATGCGATAACTGCTTCATTATATTTCATTACACACTTTAACGTATTTCCACTGTTCGTTGTAGTTCTTCTTTCATCCATTTACACTTCTCAAGCATTTCTATTTTGGAACAATTGTTATATCGCCAAGACGAATTTATTATGAAAACTTATTATTTTATAAAAATTATACTTCTTATTTATTCAACTTCTTTTTTCCTTATATTATTCTATTATTAGGACCTTAACTTAGTTTCCGCCCGCAAATGTTAGATGGCAATGCAAACAGTTCTAGTAGTCATTACTAACGAAACAGGTA